GAAGACAGTGCAACAGATGACCTTGAAACCCTATTTTGAAAAGCAGAGCTATGGGGTTGATCAATCAAAACCAGGCAGCATCTGGAATTGTACATCAGGTCTGTGGTAAGAAGTGTTGTATTCCAGCAAAACTTGCAGAATGACATCGCCCTACTCTCAACTGAGTGGTATGATTCCTCACTCAGGATGACAAGTCTCCATGGTCCACCATGCAAGCAGCTAGGAACTGGTAAGTGGTAAGGATTCTCATACTCCACTGGAAGAAGGGGGGGGGGGGTGTTAGAGAGTCTGGAGGACTGAATCGCTGAAGACAGTGCAACAGATGACCTTGAAACCCTATTTTGAAAAGCAGAGCTATGGGGTTGATCAATCAAAACCAGGCAGCATCTGGAATTGTACATGAGGTCACAGTAGGAACAGACTCAATGCCATTGAGCATCAGAGATGGGCAGCAATCTCTGTCTGCTATACTAATATTATCCATGAGTGTACAGTCTGGGACAAACATAGTTATGAAGCAAAATACTACAAGAGAGAGAACTACTACAGTCCTATAGAACAACCCACCTCTATGGTGTGCATAACCCAAACCTGCAGGATGGACAGTGTGCATTTTCCAAAAAAAAAGAAGTATACCTGGTAAGGTAACACTTGCCACAGATTTAGATCCACAATACAAAAAAAAGGCCCCTGAAAAGTGAGAAAAATTTAGAAAAAAAACAACAACTATGTACAACACCAAAAATGCAAAAATTGAAATAAATAGTAAAGAAAAACAAAGTCAGTAGCATAACTGAAAACAAAAAATCTGTGAGCAAAAACTAGCACGTCTGAACAGTACCACTGCCAATCAAGAAGTGATTAATGATTGCAGATGTGAAGATGGCACTGGTTCCAATAGGAGTAAGGCAACACTTGCCACAGATTTAGATCCACAATACAAAAAGAAAAAAGCCCCTGAAAAGTGAAAAAAATTTAGAAAAAAAACAACAACTATGTACAACACCAAAATGCAAAAATTGAAATAAATAGTAAAGAAAAACAAAGTCAGTAGTATAACTGAAAACAAAAAATCAGTGAGCAAAAACTAGCACGTCTGAACAGTACCATTGCCAATCAAGAAGTGATTAATGGGTGCAGATGTGAAGATGGCACTGGTTCCAATAGGAGTGGTGTCGTGCTCCTATTGGTGGAGAGTTGTTGCATGATCATTTGTTTGTGGATAAGCAAAAGTGGGAGGTGGAAAGCTAGTGGCATATGTTGAAAATTTGTACTAATAGAGGGCAGTGCTAGTCAAGAAAAGCTATTTTGTGAATGGAGGTAAGATATCATATCAAAAAAGATAACATCAGTGCTTGGACCAAAGTGCATTTGTAGGAGTGAAATGTCTTAACATTTCCTGTGTCCACACAAAAAAAGTGCATCATCTTTAATTAATACAGACATTGGTATGACTACCTTTGGAAAAATTATCACAGAGTAATCAATAATATGACACAAAACCTAGAAAGCTGTAGACATCTTGTTTTCCTTCAAGCTGGGGCGTTATTGACCACTGAAATTTTTGAAGATCAGTGGGCACTCCATACCCATCCAAAATGTGACAAGTAAACCCCACTTCTTCATACATGGATGCACACTTTCTGGTTTCATTTCAAGCCTCGAGACATCCTTGCCATTGCAGCCTTATAAATGTAAGATCTATCAGCCACTCAAGAGTTTCAAGGGCACAAACAGAATGGCATGAAGCAGAATTTGTAGTCCTTCTTGAGCACTTAAAACAATTTTGATCTACTTTCCTTATCCAGTTCAACTTATCAGTAACCACAATGCAATTATAGTGTATTGAACCAAAAGCGATCTTTCAGTGCATCCAGACATTCATCTATGCATGATAGAGAAAATGCACTGATGCAAGTTGGTACATTCACCAGTATAAAATTTACACAGAATCTTAGTGTTCCTCCTGACAACAAGAAGACAACAAGGTTGTGTTATCCCATCATTCAACATCTGCTTGATTTCAGTGTTGGCAATATCTCGTGTTTCAAGGAAGCCTGTGTGATGTTTTCTTATTGGATATGCATCATCTTTATCTATGTATTGGCATGTGATTGTTGTCAGACCTAATCAGCTATCTGGTCCCCAAAACACCAGCAAACTCCCTGAGAAATTCACCAAGTTCACATCTTTGCATTGAATTCAAATTGTTTACATAATCCTTACCCAGAGACTTCAGATGCTTTGGAACTTACACATTCGTTCTCAGATGTGGAACAATAGCTGCAGCGTAGCTTTTTGACTTGTTTGCTGATGAATAATTAATACAAGAAAAAATAATAATCACTGGTTGTCCCATGTTATAGCTAAAATATCAAATGTTTTAAATTTCTGCACATAGCTTTACAGTTTTTCTTTTCCATCTGTTTTTTTTTTCAGCACAAAGCTACAAGATAAGAAATTTGTGCTGTGGTCACCATGGGATGAAAATCCTTAATCTTTAGCATTATAAATCTACAAGCTTACCACTGAGCCACCTGAAATAATAGAAAGTTTATCTAGAAACATCAAAAACCCTAAAAATGCACAAGTGCTTCCAATAATGGATCTCAGATTGTAAATAAAAACTCCAAACACCTTTGGTTATTCACTATTTAAGTTATAATACCACTTCCATGAAGGAAAGTACATGATTTCTATAAATGACTTTTAGTTACAGTATATTATGGTTAATAAGCTACACATATTTAGTTCTGATCTATGTAGCATGCTTGCTTGCTTTGATCAGCAGTTAGTATCAATGTAAACATCTCAGTTTTTGGTACGCTTGTCTTAACACTAATATATCAGGAAACTCTAAATTACTCTTAGGTTCTTTTAACTCTACAATGTAGAACATCCACAAGACTCTTAGTTTTAATGATTACATTCTTTTTTACTCATATAACTCCTACAATGTGAAGAACCCCCACACTTCTGTTAATGTTTTGTCATAATATTGCTACAATAAAAACAAAATGGTTCTGATCATAATATTTAGATTATTATAACAGTTATAATATCAGAAATGCATAAAAGACAGTAATGATATTTTTATATATATGTCAGTGGAGTTTTTAAAAATATTTTATTGAAACCTGTACTTAAAATACCAATGTTAACTATCACTATCAAAGCTTCATATAGACATACAATTTTTATTCTTAAGAAACAATGAATTACCATTTTAAAAGTGTATTTTTCTCATTTAGTTATTAATTTTTAAAACTATAATAAAAAACTTTAAATCAGCAATAAAACAATTTTATTATCCACATAAACACAAAACTGATAGCTCCAAAACACCAATGTTATAAGATATATATATAAAGATATAAGAAAGTAGCCTTTACAGTAGATAAATACTATAAACTATACAAAAAAACAACAACATTTAACTTAATAGCATCATTACTAATGGCCTTCAATGCACACTATTCTGCTACCTGCAAGTCTTGACTTATTTGGGAAATATCTATAGGAGTATGTTGCTAACTATTAAGGGTTTGTTTACAGTTTTGTATATTAATGTAGGTTAATATGTTTCTATACAATATTTATTTCCTACTTAAAGAAAGAAAGAAAAATGACTGCTTATAAAACTACACATTAAAAACTTTTAACGTATGAATTTATTTTTCAACATTTACCAAAAAATATATGTTATTAACTATAGCTTTTGATATGAATAATGCAATGAATTATCTAAACAGAATGAACTGTAAACAGCACAAGACAAAAATTTTAGTCATCATACTCTTCAATAATATAGTCTTCTTGTGGTACTACAGACTCGCACATGTTCACTGTATCTTCTACACGTGGGTTAGGGTCTGCAACTGGAACAGTGCTATGAGTATCAAATTCTTCAAAAATTTCCTTTTCACTAAGATGAAAGCCTGGTGTTTTTGGCCTTACAGCACCTGATGAAAATCTTCCATATTTTTTAATTATCTCTAACTGGGCATTATCAGCTGAAGGTTGTACGACACCTAAGTATGGTATTATTTGAGTTTGAAGATCTAAAGTGTATGCCCATTCTTTAAAACAGTTTCTCACTGCAGCCTGACCATCTCTATATAGTTTCAAAACTGAAAACCACTCTGGTTTGTAAAAAGGTCTCCAAAATTGGCCCCCACCAAGCTTATCTTCTTCCAGATGAAACATCAAACTCCTTGCCACAACAGAAGCAGAGTATTCATCAAGAACCTCTTTCCCACTCCACTCCGTACAAATAATATTAGCATCACTGAAACTTGTACAACACTTTTCTGTAATATAAGCACTGTTGACAAAAGACAGGTAATTATGGTGAAGAAAAAGTGTGAATGTATCAGCAGTTACTGCTGTTCTAGAAAACACAGCCTCTGCATTAGATAGAAGAACCATTCGCTCTTTGTCCTTCAAATGTATGGGAAGTTGGCCTTCTGGTTCTTTTCCAGAATCTCGTTTACAATAAAGGATTTTACCAAGTGCATGAAACAAAAACAATGAATGGTCTCTCTCACCCAAAATTGAAGAACTAGATTCTACCATATTCTTTTTTCGTTTTTGACCTGCAAATGAATTACTTTTACATTCTTTTGATATCCTACTAGTGGAACCAGGCTTTACAAAAAACTGAATCAGGTTAATTAAATGACGAACATCTCCATTACTAGCAGCCACTAAAGATTCATTCTCAGATTTTGATAATGTGACCTTGGCAATTCCACATATTCTACTGACTGCCTTTGTTAATGATGTTGGGGCTATAGGGTTAAAACTCACTTGCATAATGTCAAGTTCAGCTAATAAACTTTTTGGAAATAAATGATGTTCTATGCTACTTCCGCTGCCACTTTCACTAACAATGAAAACAGCAGGACATCTTCCAGTTTTTGAGTATAGTTGCAATACATTATGAAATACTTCAGGCTCTCTAAGAAATACATTAGGAAAGTCTTCAACAACAATTAATCTTCCAGAAGTAGATTTCACAAATAAAGATGAATATTTATTAGCTCTCAAAATAAAGTCTACAAATTGTTCTTTCTGAGTAGTAGCGCTAACCAATAGCCTATTATTTGAAAATCCATCATCAAATAGGCCAGAACTATTGTCAACAGGGTTAACCCATTCTTTCATATCTAAATCTAATACTTTAGCTAAAACTTTTATGCTTGCTGTTTTTCCACAACCAGCAGGGCCAGTTAGAAGAGCTATAGGTGCACATTTTATTGTAGTTAGAAAATTCTTACATCTACTTAAACTGTCTATAAGCCATGTCTCAATCTGCTCAACTTTCTTCTTGTTTACTGCAAGGTCTTCTTTAGCCTGTGGAGCAAACAATTCTATCCAAGACTCACCAACACAATTATTTCCACCCCTTTCACCAAAAAGCAATTGAGATTGAATTCCTTTTTTCCTTTTTGTTTTAGCAAGTGCTTCGTCTTTTTGATATTCCGATTTTCTGCAATCTTTTCGTGATGATGACGTAACAAAATCATTATCAAATGATGACTTTAGCCAAGTTTTTAACTGCTTTTGCACTTCCATTGGAAAACAGTTTTTCTTTCCACTGGCACTATATCTGTTAGTGTCAGTAGATAGGTTTCATTGGAATGTTACAATGTTAGCTTTTTTTTCCCTTTACAATGCTAATTTTCCAAGGGCACCTCGTAACAAACAAATCACATAATTCAAAGTCTAAGGCAATAGGACTAAATATATGACCCCAGTATTAATAATGTTAACACTGTAGTACTACCACTATAGTCTATAGTAGCTTTTTAATAAGCTATGTATGTAATAAAGTAAAAGATAAATTTAATTAGCTGACAGCTCCAATTATTTTCAGAAATTCTAGCATTAGAACAAATAATATCAAGACATTCCGAGAAACTCCATACTAAATATAATACATTAAATATTTCTTCTGGTACCAGTACTAATTTGGAATAAAACACAATACAAAAAACACGTTTTTGACAACATCAGAAAACGATACAAATTTTGTATAATAGAGGGCACTGTGAAATACTTACTGTTCGAGAGTATACCAATATATATATAAATTCAATAAATTAAAATTGTTCAAGCATCTATTAAAGACTAACGGTAAAAATATTGTTACGTATCTGGGCGTTTGTCAACTCTTGGTATAAATTCTTACCGAGGAACTT